ACCCACGAACACATTATGGACTCACTTTGCCGACTCCCGCATGAGCGGTGCCAATATGATGCGTATGGCCTCTTGGAAGACCCGGGCCTTTTCTGTAGAGGTAGCCCACACGGGAGGAAAAGGCAGCACGGCCGCCAACACGTGACCAGGCTCCGTCCATCGCAGGTGCTCAGGAATGTTGAACAGTGTTATGAGCACTGGCCAAGCCTGCCGCCTGCCGTTCCTTGTTGCGTTCGTGCCATCGCTATACACAATGACGCTCTCGTCTTGTATCGCTTTCTGCGCTCAAACAAGGACGGCCAGGTATTGGTCTCAGCATCACTCAGCGATAATGGGACGCCAAGCCCCACAATGTCAGCCGACCACACAGCTTACCTCTACTTCCTGCATCCACTTCCCAGTCTCGGGGTCGTTGAACCTCCGTTTGCCTGTGGTAGGGTCCAGCTCCGTCCTCGCCTTGGTAACGAAGCCTGGTACAGCGATGAAAGTTCGCACCAACTTCTTCACCAACTGCATGGCATTGCGTTCGACGTTAGGAGTTGCGGCGTCATGTTGTGCATCGAATGTAGACGTAATATATTTGGAAACTCGGGCATAACCGTACCTGCTCCGTGTCGCGATAATGCAAGAGCAACTTCTGGACCTCTCCTTTGGTCCCGCGGACAATGATCTCCTCCACAAGCCACGGAACCAGGTCCGTGGGCGCTCTCGCGTTAGCCCATCGTCGCACATCCAGAGCATTTCGCCAGCGGCGGAGAGCGCGGAGATTGAAGCGAGGGTTGCGAAAGATGTGCAGCAAGCGGTTTACTTCGCGCCGCGAAAGGTCGGCATCGCGGATGAACAGGTATATAGCAGTGAGCGTGTCAAAGACAATGCCGTCCTCGCTTTGATCACTACAGGTGGACTGCTGCTCGTCGTCTACCGTCCCTTCATCACCTGCTGTCGCTTCCGCCACCTCGTCAGCGGCCGCCACTGCATCGTTAGCTAGCGAGTTCGGGCTAGACGTCTCGTTGGGGCGACCTGCGGTACGGGCGGAAACAGCCGCGTAGGCCTCCAGATAGGCCTGAGCTAATCGGGCGTCACGCTTGCCGAGGATGTTGCGTCTGCACTCTGCGCTCTTTGCAAGGTGCGACTGAAGCGCACAGTCATCGCGAAGGACACGCGGACACCCCCTGCAGCGGCAGGCCGCCATATCCGTAACACGGAGCCCTGAAAAGTCAATGCACTAACGCATGAAGCAGTGGACACTGGGGTTGGTATCCACCCCAGTCACAGTCACTGGCTCAACCTCACCCTGGTGTCGTGAACATGATGTTGCTATCAAGGAGAATACGTATGACTTTGTACCGCGTGCCACTTTTGACAATACAGGAGAGCTTTTTGACGGATCTAGGCTGGCTACGTCATGCGCTGCCTGGCACCATCGTGTGTCCCCACATATGCCTAGAGGTTCTTAGTGTTGTAATTGCCCATCCTATAGTACTCTGCGCAACAATATGGTGTACGCATGTGGGTGACACTGGACAGTGTGTGTGGACCGACACTGAAGTGCGTCACTCTATGTGGTACGCATCGAAACTTTAGCGTGGGAGATAACATTAGGTACAACATGGTGAACACGTGGTCCCAGTACACTCGTGCACCTGTTTAAAGCAAACGGATTTCGCCAGAGATGACGTACACACGTTGGAGCCCAAAACAGCACAGCTCGGCCTCGAGATTTTTCCACCGCATGCAAAACGCGGGCCGACGTTGACACATGTCACGTCCTGGCGATTTCCCGCGCAGCTGCATGCAGATCTTGTAGCTTCGCCCATCCTGCTCGGGCTCGATATTCCCAGGCGATATGACGTTCCATTCCGCATAGAAAGCCAAGTCTGGGCACCTGTCTTGCTCTGTGTTAGTTCTTGTCACACTCCATCCCATGGTGTCCAGGCTTATGTAACGCCCTCCAATGACGCAGCCTGGTCGCGAAGGTATGGCGCGAGACAAGGTAGGTGTTAAAAAACCACGTAGCGGCACGGACAATGGGGACGTCACGGAGGTGGCGGCCTCTGCGCGCGCACCGCACGCAAACGCCGTCACAAGGGCCACTCGAAGTAGTACCCGCACGCAGCAAGGATCTGCGAATCAAGAATCCGCAAGCGCCGCTAAGAAGCTCGACCTGCCCAAGTACAAGACGAAAGTTAAAGTGAATACGGTGGACCCCGAACCAGATGATGTCGTTGCCCGCGTCGCCAGAAAGAGTAAGGATGTCTCTTTCACATCCATGTCTTCGAACAACCGCGCCGGACAGTCGTGCGTCGTCACCGCCAGAGATCTTGTGACCATCGCAGATGGTCAGTGCCTCACCGATGCGATAATCGACTTTCACAACATGTGAGTCTTGAGATCGCTGGTGAATCACGTCGCCGTCAAATACGTCAACTAACCTGAGCGTCCGGACCCCCCATGTGCAGATTGTTGAGCATCGAACATCCACGGACCCCTAATGGCAAGACATGGGCGGTTATGGACAGCATGGCGTATCAGTACGCCACGGGTTACAACAAGCCGTTCCAGCACGGCAAGGGGGAAAGTCTGCTCGCCGTCGACTTTCTGGCCATACCGGTTTTCAAGGGGTGAGCTGCGGGGTGTATAGGATGCTACGTCTAATTTGCTATGTCGTCTATGTCAATGACCCGACCTAGTGTCCGTGCTGTTCCACAACTCCATCGACGGAAACCACTACTCGCTCATCATCGTGTGCGAGCCGGCGAAGTTGTTCCGCAAGGACGGGGAGGGTGATGGGGACAAGCTGCAGATGGTCCTGTTCGACAGCGAGGGCACACATGCCGGGGATCCTACCGTCTTTGATGGCGCGAAGCTGTGAGTATGGTTGTCCTTGTGAACTGAATCATGAATGCTTGTGCTCTGCGGATGAACAATCTCCGTGTTGTACTGGTGCGCATGCTCAGGCTGCTGGATATCACGACCAAGCAGTTGCACCCAGAGTGCGACCACGAGCGACTTGTTTCCACGCTTTCGAGCGTGGACTGTGTGGTGATGCAGGTATGAGCCGTGTGGTCGGGCCATTAAAAGCTTGGGATGGAATTCCCATACGCGAAAGCCCATGCACTGACACACATGCCCACTCTTCCATGCAGGCGCACCAGCTCATTAGGCAGGACAACCTGGTTGACTGTGGCGTATTCTTGTGCCACTACTTGCGCGGACTCGTAGAGTCAGACTTCTCAACGGTGCTGAAGTATCTGTATTTGGACGGCGTGAGCGGTGGCCAGTACCGCCGGCGCATGCGTGCGGATCTGAGCGCGCATGCAGCTTGTGAGCTCGTACCTGCGCTGACCACACGGGGGAAGATCGTTCCACCGCAGTATGCACCTCGGACATCGGAAATCGGCGCTGTGAGGGCGTCGGACGAGGTGGACATGAGGAGCCGTCTCGCTCAGTACCAGGTCGAGGTGTACGGACTACGGAGGGAACTTGTCATCTGGGGCGCGGCAGTGACCGCGCTCGGGAACGCCATGGGGTACAGCAGAGATTAGATGCTCGCAGCTGCCGCGTACGTGGTGAAGACGGACGGAGGGGCTTATCGGAGCATTGAACCCGGGGGATCACCCTCTACGCCGCCTCACCTGCCTACTGAGCGGACCGGTGGCCCCCTCCCCGCCGAACCCTGTGGCGCGCAATCGTGTGCGAAGGGTGGGTTTGTGGCACACACGGAATTGGGCGTAATCCATCAGCACCCCCGGCCCCTTCCTCCCTTATCGCGTGCGTCTCCGGCCCATGACAGTCCTGGTGGCCCGAAGACCCCTACCAACGGGAACGGTGAAGTCGGCCCGGGTGTACGTGCGACGACAGAGGTCCTGCTAGACATGCCTGCTGCGAAAAGGGGGGAGAAGCGACCACGTGTCGATGGCGGAAGCTTGGCAGCGGAAGGTACAACAGCCGCTGGTGGTGGGGGGGGAAGTGGTGGGTCCTCACAGTACACCGGGGTGCGGCGAGAGAAGAAGAGGGGGAGCACGAAGATATTGGTGAGGGAGCCTGGTAAGGCCAGGCGGACGCAGATGCGGTTGGGGTCATACACACAGGAGCCAGAGGCAGCTTACGCTTACGCCGCAGCTGCTCATGTGTTAAGGCCTGGCGTCGTCATTCCACGCACGATCCAGTTGACACCAACGGAACAAAGCCTTCTGGCAGGATGCTCCAAAAAGGTCATCAAGCTCCTGGTCAAGAGCCGGATGTGGTTCCGCTGGAGAGAGTGGGAGCAGGCGGTGCTGGACTGCCATGGCAATATGGATATTCCTGAGACCGAGACCCCAACCGGGTCTGCAGAGGGAGGGGGTGGGGACGAGGTGGAGGAGGAGGGGGGGCAGGACGCTGATGTCGGCACGGACGATGGGCAGGCGGATACTGAACCTGTCAAACATACTGCTGCTGTTGGAGTTTATGGTCTTGAGAGTGATGCACAGAATGGAGTTCCAGGGGAGGAAGGAGTACCAGGGGAGGACGATCTAGTAGGGACCCAATTTGGAGAGTTTGACCCGGCTAGCCTGGGCTTGTGATGGATGAGGTTGGGAGTGTGTGGTTAGCTGCATGCACTAGAATATACCATGCGTTGGTTTCGATTGTACCATATTGTTTCCTTGATGGGATTTCCCGACGCCATGCTCGGTCACCTTTATTTGTTCTTGTTGTGTTGATGTTTTAGTATGCGGTACTATAATAACAATGCGGATTGCCGTTAGCGGATACAATATTGACACCGCACTGGTGTACGTGATCGGCTCAGTGTATTCTACATGACCACTCGTTGGTACCACCCCGGATTCGGCTAGGTTGAGTTGGCACAATCTTACTGGTGCGTAATCTGGTTATGCTGACTGGGACAAACAAGCAGAATTCGAACTACACTAAGCGAACACCAACCGCTGGTGTATACCTTTGGGTTTGAGAGCATGTTGGACCATTCGGCGGGAGGAGTTCACGGGAGTTCAAACATGGAGACCTCGGACGCGTCGATCGAGCCCCAGCCTGCTTCCAGGTCACAGAGGGTGTCCAAGCCTCCGTCGTACCTCCGCAACGCATACCAGCTGACTCAGAAGCGACAGCGCGGGAGGAAAGCGGAGCGATCGGTTGCAGTGCCAGCCAAGCGCGCCAGGGTGACGAAGGCGAAGGGGGTTCCTCTGAATGGTAATAGTTGTTCAAGCGACGACTGCGAGCATGGCCGTTGATTACCATTCATCTGGCACCATCTTAAAGTGTTGTGTTCGTTGTGTTTGTTCGCAGCTACAGCATCCGCTGCGCCAGAGACTTCAGTGGCGGAGGCACCTCAGGCAGAGGTGGAGATAAGCGTCGGTGCGGGCGATGAGGACATCGAGAGTGAGAGCGAGGCACGCCCGGCGCCCTCCCGGTCGAAGAACTTGGCCTCTGTGATGGCAGAGTCACAGGCGACTGCCACCACCAGGCCCCGTCCTCCGCCCGTGCGTGTGCCGGACAACCCTTTTGTGGCCATGCCTGTAGCTGGGTCGTCTCGTGACCCGACAGCGCCCGGGGAGGAGACACACATTCTGATTAGTCGCGCGGAGTTCGAGGCCTTGAAGAAGGCGCAAGAAGCGAGCGCGCGCACCGTGGCCCGTCTTGAAGAGGAGCTGAGGTCTGCTAAGGCTGTGCAGGCGCGTGCACCCCCTCGCAGGCCGGACGAGCATGTCTCGGGGAGCGGTGGTGCTTCTGGTCGGAAGCGGAAGCGTCGGGAAGAACTCGCCGATGAGGAGACATCCGACGAGGAGAGCGAGGATGAGCCACCTGTCAACAGAACTAGGCAAGAATGATTGAAAGGAGAGAGGGGTTTCACTAGCAGCAGTTGGGGTACATATAGCAAACCCTAACTGGGTTGTACTCGCTATAGAGCACCCCACTACAGGCTAGACAATAATAACATTCTGACACACCCCCATAGCCAAAGTGGGGTGTAATCAGTACAATGAGCAGGCATAGCAATAGTTCACAATTATAAGCAAAGCTAGAGGTGATCATAGAGGGCAAGTGAGGAGGAGGAGAAACTGTGAGGGCGAGAAGATGAAAGGCGCCGACTGAAGCTGCAGACACACGGGCAACAGGAGCGGCGCGCACAGTGGCTACCGAGCGCACGAGGGCACCGGACTACGGGAGTATCTGGCTCCGCGGCTACGACGAGCACACACAGGAGCAACGGACCCACAGGCGACTGGCGAAGCAGGCTCGCTGGGCTACCGAAACGCGCGAGGGCATCCGGACTACTGGCGCTGCTGGCGTCACGACGGCTACCTCCACGCAACCTCCCCCGACCGTCCCACGCCCCTCTCACACACCCCCTGCTGACACCCTAGCTCCACTTCCACGGCACCCCCCTTAAACCCTAAACCCTCGGCTCCCACACACCCACCCCCCTCAGCGGCAGCTGCAGCAGTGGGAGACGGAGGAGGAGGAGGAACAGGGAACGGCACTCAGTGGCTTCACCCCCATACCCCTCACCCCCAAACCCTAATTCAGGAGAACGGGCTGTAGGAGGGGTGGGGCGCCAGTAGAAGCACGGGGGACAGTGGGGAGGGCAGGGGCAGCGAGGAACGGGCCGCCCACGGGCCTGGCATAGCCGCCCGAACCGCGCGCAGGCGGCCCGAGCCGCGCGCGGGCCTGGCGCTTCCCGTACGGGCCGCGCGCGGGCCTGGCGCAGCCCGTACGGGCCGCGCGCAGGCCTGGCGCAGCCCGTACGGGCCGCACGCCGGCTGTACGGGCCGCGCGCAGGCCACGACGGGCGACGGGGGGCGACGCGTGGGACCCCGTCGCCCGTCGCAGCGCCTCCCGGGGGCGACGCGCCGAGTGACGGGGCAGAAACCCGCCGCGCGCCTCGGGGCGCACGGCGGGCAGAGAACCGCCGCGCGCCTCGGGGCGCACGGCGGGCAGAAAACCGCCGCGCGCCTCGGGGCGCACGGCGGGCTGAAAACCCTAAGTCAACGCCGCGCACCACGGGGCGCGCGGCGGACAGGGAGTAGCAGTAGCAGCGGAAGCAGTTAGGTGGCGGGCCCACCCACAGGATCGACCCAAGGGGGTCGACCTGCTCTGATAGCATGTCAACAGAACTAGGCAAGAATGATTGAAAGGAGAGAGGGGTTTCACTAGCAGCAGTTGGGGTACATATAGCAAACCCTAACTGGGTTGTACTCGCTATAGAGCACCCCACTACAGGCTAGACAATAATAACATTCTGACACCACCCACCAAGAGGGGGCATCTGAGGGTGTCCAAGTCACCGGTCCTGCAGCGGGCGCTGAATTTTCTGCCCGCAAACAAGTCGTGGAAGGTGCGTTGTGACGAACATAGGTGCCTCCACCATGTGTTAACTGCCTTTGCACCCCTTACTACGTGCTTCTCAGAGTTTTGACGGCGGATGTGTGTGCTGGGTGGTTTTGATATGGTTGCAGCGCGCGTGCGACCTGGTGAAAGATTACCTCTTCTTTGAGAAGGAGAACGCCCGGATCACGTTCTATCCGAGCAGCGACGACAAGACGGTGGGAGTGTGTGCAGTGATCGAGCGCCTGCCTTTCGATTTCGCGACACTTGCTCTGGCTGCGGACAAGGCAAGACGGTCGGATTTGAACAAGGCCCTTAGCGAGTGGAAGTCGGGCGCAGCAGGAAGGACGCGGGACATCTCGTGTCCACGGATGGGGCTTTTCCGCGACGAGCGAGATACGCGCAGCCCATGGGCCACGAAGAAGGACCGTACTCTGGAGGAGATACGATCGCATTATGGGCTGCTGCTCGGCGTTGACGGTAAGGCGGTGGTCACGTGGTTGGAGAGGGGATGTATGCGGGATGCGTGGATCGCGGACTTACGTGGGCGTGCATTTGTGCGCAGATCCCCTGGCATTGTCCAAGTTTGGGAACGATCGGGAGGGGATGCCGTTCGCCTCTGGCGCATTCGTGGCATGCGCGGTTGCGGCATTCAAGCCGAAGAAGGTGGTCGGGCCACTGACGGTGAAGCTTTACCACCTGGCGTGGCTGGAGCATGTGGTACGTGCTTGGTGTTTGTTTGTGCTATGTGGTCACCCGTCCTCCCCCGGTGGCTAAGGGGCTGTTTGCGTGTCGCAGGTGACCGACACGCTGGTGAACTGGGAGGCGAGGAAGGGGCGACTGTCGAACTCTGCCTGTGGAAACGCGCAGGTGGTCGATGGGCTCGTGATCCTTGCGCGTGAGGCAGTGTCGAACGCGATCAGAATCTTCAAGCCTAAGTACGACGTCGCCTCGTGCTCGTGGACCTGGGGGCGCCATGGCCTTCGACTGTCCTCGTGCGGGCTGGAGGACTTAATTCCAGCGACTGCCGCTACCCGTGATGGGGCAGAGGTTCAGGCGGACGAGATCTCTGGGTCGCTTGGAGGCCCGTAAATGGTGGGGGTTGAAGGCATGTTTTCCCAGCTGGGGTTTGTCGTGCATTTGTTGCTGTAGGCGGGATATTTGTGTTTGTTGTGGGTCCTAGCTATGTGTGTGTTTCTTTTGTGTCGCTTTGCTGTAAGTTTATTACGGATGGGTTGTGCATTTTTTAAATACGGTGCAAACTCACGCGAACACTTAGGGAATGTAAACACACCACGTTGTATGGTTACGCCGTATTTGGTATCTTAATAACAGCAGTTCGTGCGGTGTCTAATAGGTACGGATACGTGGTTCCGGTTTCACGAGCTGCGCACATTACTGAGGGCGCGCTTCGGGCCGCGTCGAACGTAGACCATTCGTGGCACGCACATTGAATAGGTGCTGTTGAGGGATGTGGTGGACGTTTTCCGCACATCTGACGTGGGATATGTTTGCAGTGGTTGGCCGCATCTCACGCGTCAATGGCGTGGCCAGTCGCACCAATAGGGGGAAGTAGTAAAGCTTGGGACCACGTGTCTAAATCCACCAGGTGTAAATGGTGGGCGGACAGTGGAGACACGTCCCGCGTATGCAGCGGGCGGAAGCTTGGTTCACTTTATTGTTAGGTGTTGGTGCACGCCCTGGTAACACCGGCTGAGGTGGCGAGCATGCGTTGGGACGTCAGATTTGGCGAAGGTTTGCCGTAGGACGAGCGAGGCGGGCCCGCGCTACGTTTTAGTGGCTGACGAAGTGTGTAGTTACATGGTGCGGGGCCACTCACGGTCCCACAGGTGTACGGTCGAGATGCGGGGTGTTCGCGTGTGGAGTGGTGGGGAGGTGGGTCCTCTGCATGCAGATTGGTGGGCGAAATGCACGCGCAGTTTGGTAAGTGGGCGACGAGAGTGGGTGTATTCACTCGTTAGACCAACGGGGTGCTCACATGTGTACGGCGGGGATCGTTGCGTGAAGCCGCCTCGATGAAGGGGGTACGTACGGTATGATGCACAAGCACTTTGGTGTACGGTGTCATGTGACACGTGTGACGGGCAACTTTATCGCAACTTTCTGGCAAGATCGCGGTTGCTGGGAGGTTCCTGAAATGTGTCCGAAATGTGGCGAAGGGGTCACTTTTACGCAACGTGCACCCTTGCGGGAATTCCGATGGTTTTGACCTTCACTGGAAAACATCGGGGCCGGGTATCCAGAAAGTAACTTTTCTGCAGTTTTTTCGACACATTTCCGCAATACCTTTTCCGCGATGACCCTTCATGTCGCAGTTGTTAACGGTAATCATGAGGTTGTGGCCCGCTCCGTCGTACAACCCAGAGTCGATCAATGCCTTCAACGTGCCGACCGGCTCAAAAGCCGTAGTGAGAGAAACCTTTTCCTCTACAACGCATTCCCAGAATGGTGCAGAAAGTTTTACCGGTTTGAATGTGCACGGGATCTCGGCCACAAGGTCGCCATTCTTTACGTATCTCGGATTGGAGAATGTTGGGGTCGATGTGATGGGCAATGAAACGTGCAGGGTGAATTTGGTGTACTGGTAGGTGGATGTGCTGCAAGGGGGAGACGCGGGGGAGGGGGGGTTGGGTGGGGGAGAAGGGGAGGAGAGGGGGTTGGAGAAGATAGGAGGATGAGAGCACGACAGGGAATGCTATTCTGCAGGTGCATTCACTGCAGGTGCATTCATTGCAGGTGCGAACAGGCTGTACGTCCCAGCCTGAAAAGCCTTTTCACAGGCTGAGGGTATGACTCGCCTCCCAGCGTGATTCACTGAAGAATACTAGCAACTTGTTTGTGAAAAGAAATAGGGGGGAAGGACCCCTTTGTTAAAAATTTGGGAGCTCAAAACGGCCAAATAGTGAGGGGGTGATGCTTACAGGCTAAACCTCGTGATGCTCCCTACAGTCGGGCAGCCAGTCTTGGTCTCGAATGCACAAAGTGCTCCGTCTGCGCGTTACCATGACGGAAAAAGGAGGGAAACGATAAAGGTTCAATAGACGGAAACGAGACGGGATGAGGAGCATGAAGATGCAGGAAGTGGATGATAGCTGCAATTTAAAAGAACATGCAATGAGCGCGTGCAGCGAGAGAGCCGCGCGTGCAGCGAGAGAGCCGCGCGTGCAGCGAGAGAGCCGCGCGTGCGAAGGAGAGAGCCGCGCGTGCGAAGGAGAGAGCCGCGCGTGCAGCGAGAGAGCCGCGCGTGCAGGGAGAGAGCCGTGCGTGCAGCGAGGGGAGCCGCGCGTGCGAAGGAGAGAGGCGCGCGTGCAGGGAGAGAGCCGCGCGTGCAGGGAGAGAGCCGCGCGTGCAGCGAGAGAGCCGCGCGTGCAGCGAGAGAGCCGCGCGTGCAGCGAGAGAGCCGCGCGTGCGAAGGAGAGAGCCGCGCGTGCGAAGGAGAGAGCCGCGCGTGCAGCGAGAGAGCCGCGCGTGCAGGGAGAGAGCCGTGCGTGCAGCGAGGGGAGCCGCGCGTGCGAAGGAGAGAGGCGCGCGTGCAGGGAGAGAGCCGCGCGTGCAGCGAGGGAGCCGCGCGTGCAGCGAGGGAGCCGCGCGTGCAGCGAGGGAGCCGCGCGTGCAGCGAGGGAGCCGCGCGTGCAGCGAGGGAGCCGCGCTTGCAGCGAGAGGGCGCGTGCGAAGGAGACTGCGGGCCGGGAGTATCCGTAAGAGCGTCGACGTACATTTTTTCTCGGTGAGGAGCATTCGGCGATCGGCGGCGATAGCGCTGCAGGCGAGAGAGAGCAGCACTGCACAAAAGAACCGTGGACAGAGGAAAACCGGGTATAAATCGAGGAACGGGCGAACAGACCGAACGCGAAGGAACACGTTTGGCTGCTGGCTGGCACTGTGAGCAGCAACAGGCGGCCAGGAAATGGTCATGCTCTCACAAAGACTCGAGAAGCGGGGCGAAAGGTTGCTCAGCAACAAGAGCAACTTGGACGAATGTTTGACGCGAGTAGTCGGGGTAAGGCATGAGTCAACATGGACGAACAGCCGTGAGTGTACTACGAGATACTGACCAGCGAGGACGATCGCGGGTCGCAGCGACGTGTGGGCCATGGCTGAACTACTACAACTGGACCTTGCTGGTGGTGGCGCGAAAGAGAGATGAATGGCTCGAATGAAACGAATGAAACGAACCAGCAGAGGAGCTAGTGTTTTATAGTCAGGTTGGGTTACCTGTCTTGAAGGGGAAACGAGGTGCACAATACAGAAGCAGATTTTGTAGAATCGCCAATCGCGGATCGCGTCGAATGCCATCGACACTCACGGGCCGCGACTCCCGCGGTAGTCTCAGGTGGCCTGACCTCATTTTCCAGGTCTCAGGTGGCTTCACCTCATTGGCGCGTGGCTCTCGTTGAGTGACTTGTCGTGTCCCCTTCCTTTTCGCCGCATGAGACTCAGGCACACTACAGCAGGGAAATCGCGAAGGGTTCAGTGTGATGCCATCAACTCTCACGGGCCGCGACTCCCGCGGTATTCTCAGGTGGCCTGACCTCAACTTCCAGGTCTCAGGTGGGTTGACCTCATTGGTGCGTGACCCATCATTTCGTTACTTGTAAGGTAATGTTATATGTGCAATTGATGTAAGGAATTTTCTCGAATTCCTTATCGGGGTTGACTGCTGCGCGTACAACCCGATTTTCGGAGTTCGCACGATCGGGCGATTTCCACGCTGCCGAAGCTCCTCGCGTCGCCTTCGGCATTCCCATCGCCAAACCTGCACCCAACCTCGCTTGTCCGAGGTTTCCTCCTAGCTAGGCTAGCCTACATTAGTTCTCGCATTCATTGTATTCTCAGATTCATTGAGTCACAGCCTCGTTATTCGTTATTCCGCGCAACTCTGTTTGACAACTCATAACACCTGGTATCAGAGCTACTTTCCTAGTTCACCCCGCTTTTCGAGGGTAGTTTGGTGGCATAGGGTGTGGTTGGTTTAGTGACTACACGACGGTTGGCTGCAGAGGTTGTTAACTCAACCCTGCCCGACTCCGATAGTTCGTGTTTTCACTTGCCGGGTGGCCACGGGTACCCAACTGCCCACCAGACGTAGTGCTAGAAACATGGATCAGGAGGCTGTTAACCGACTGATGGCGCAAGTGGCAGAAATGGCGAGGGGCATGGAATCGCTGCAAGCGGAAGTGACAACACTGAAGGAGGAAAACGCCGAGCTACGCCGGACGCGAGGTGAAGCGCGTCAGACGTCGCCTGTGGACGAAGGCGAGGGCAACAGTCAAGTGATGGGCAATCTTCTGGACGAGCTCACACACGACTTCGAAGAAGAAGATAGGCAGCGAGCGGCGGCAGCGCCAGTTGCAGTTACGACGATCAAGATCAAGCCCGTCAACCCGCCCCCGTTTAATCCTACGGACAAGACGACTACAGTGAAGGGGTGGCTGTTCGGGGTTGAAGTCTTCTTCACTGCAGCCGGAGTTAATGACGATGCCACGCGCATTAATTACGCAGTCTCGCTTCTTCGAGGTGCAGCACTTGAATGGTGGCGCCGGACCTTGGAAACAGGGACGTCGACAGGTGTGACCAAGATACGCACATGGAAGGAGTGGGGCGCAGCCTTACGGGATCGCTTCGAGCACGTATCCGCCTCGGAGCAAGCTCGCATGAAGCTGCGTGCATGGTCGCAGATGGGATCTGTCCAAGACTACACGGCGTCATTTATGGGCTTCGCCGACCAAATCGATGACATGTCGGAAGCTGAGCGGTTGGATAAATACGTGAGCGGCCTTAAGTACGAGATACAGTTCGAAGTTCGCCGCAGCCGCCCGACATCGTTCCTCGAAGCAGTACGCGTGGCAGAGTCAACGGATGCGCTGATGCAGTACGCGAGAACAGCTTCCAGGGATGGGAGAGGTTTTCGTGGCCAGACCCATCGGGCCACAATCAACGCCGTCCATACACCCGACCGCCCTCCTAAGGGTCAGTGTTTCCGGTGTGGGAAGGTGGGTCACTGGAAGAACGAATGCAAGGAGAAAATGCCGCTGACAGAGAACGACAGGAAGGAGCAGGGAAATGGGAAGAGTCAGTAAGTAGCGGGCCCTTTACTGACTGTGCTCCGTCGCCCGAACACCACCATCCCCATCGATCGCACTCGGCCGAATAACGGGGATAATCATGTGGATCACCCTGTGCTGGTCGCTGGCAAGGTGGGGAAACATCATTTGAAAATGTTCGTCGATGGAGGGGCCAGCCATAGCCTCTTCAACTTGGCGAGCGCAAAAAAATGCAACATGCAACTTGACAGGTGTCTGCCCGAAATCGACGCACGACTCGTGGATGGGACGCCTCTGGCGATAACGGAAGAAACACGGATGGTGCGGATCGAGTGCGGCGAAGATTTCGGCTTCAGCATGAAGTTCCTCGCGACGACGCTGGATGGCTGCGACGTGCTGCTGGGACGCGATTGGCTGCGACGACACAACCCCGTCATCGACTGGACAACGGGAGCGTGCTGCGTCAGCAAGCACGAGGGGCTAATTAAGTTGCCTGCATGGACACCTGACTACATACAAGCCCCGTGCGTCAAAGCCATCACCATCGCCCACCACTTCAACAGGGGTGCGCAGCTGTTCGCCGTCTGCTTGCGCGAGTTGGCAGTCGACACCGACGGAAAGGACATCGAAAAGCTGTGTGCAGCTGTTCCTCCGGATTTAGCGGAGCTAATTCGACGGTACCCCGACATTTTCCCGGACGATTTGCCACCTGGGCTGCCACCCGAAAGACCCGAAGACCATAAAATCCAGCTGGAACCTGGCGCGCAACCTACTGTTCGGACACAGTGGCGGTTGACCCAGCCGGAACTCGAGGAACTACGCCGACAAATTGTTGCACTGTTGGAGAAAGGCTTCATTCGGCCGAGCACCTCCCCGTTCGCGGCACCGATTCTGTTCACTCCAAAGAAGGACGGCGGGCTTCGCATGTGCATCGATTATCGCGCGTTGAACCGGGTGACCATCAAATCTCGCTACCCAATCCCACGCACCGACGACCTTCTCGATCAACTTCGCGGCGCTCGCTACTTCTCGAAAATCGACTTACGTGGCGGTTACCACCAGATTCGGGTCTTCGCCGACGACTGTCACAAGACCGCGTTTCGTACACGCTACGGGAGTTACGAATTTACAGTGATGCCCTTCGGCCTCACGAACGCGCCTTCGACATTCCAACTGACCATGAACAGGGTTTTTCGCGATCTTCTAGACCGATGTGTCATCGTCTATTTGGACGATATCCTGATTTTTAGCAAGACACGGGAGCAGCATCTCCGCGACCTGGACGCAGTATTTAAACGGTTGCAGGAGAACCGCCTCATCACCAAGGGCTCTAAGTGCGAGTTTTTTAAGCAGGAGTTGGAGTTTTTAGGGCACGTCATCTCCCGCGACGGCATTAAAATTGACCCGGCGAAGATTAAAACCATACAGGAGTGGAAGGCCCCGACTAATGTCACGGAGCTTCAGAGTTTTCTGGGGTTCGTGAATTACGTCAGGCGGTTTATCCCGAATATGGCGGGGATAACCGGCCCGCTGACCGACCTGCTGCACAAGGACAAGAATTTCGTGTGGGGGGAGGAGGCAGAGGCGGCTTTCCAGGAGCTCAAGAATTTTCTCGTTTCCCCTCCTGTGCTGCGCATCGCCGACCCATCGAAGCCGTTCGAAGTTGTAACCGACGCCTCTGATTTCGCCATCGGAGCAGTGCTTCTCCAGGATTTCGGGAACGGGCTGCAGCCGATCGCCTACGAATCACGCAAGCTGCAAGCTGCCGAACGCAACTACCCGATCCACGACAAGGAGATGCTCGCCATAATCCACGCGTTTAAACTGTGGCGATGCTACCTGGTGGGCGCCGACGTCAGTGTACGCACGGACCACAAGTCCCTACAGTACCTGCGAGCTCAACCGAACCTCAACCCGCGACAAATTCGGTGGCTGGATTACATGGAAAGCCACTTCACCTACCGCATCACGTACAAGAAAGGGGCGAATAACATCGCCGACGCCCTGACCAGACCGACCGTACAATCCGCTGCTGTACTGATCACCCATTCGAACCCGCTACTTACAGGACTATTCACCCACGGCTACACTACGGACCCGTTCTTCACGACAGGAAATCATCAGCAGGCCACGACGCAGAAGGGGGATTATTACCTAAAAGCCGGCACCGACAGGATTTGGGTCCCCGCTTACCGGCTGCTGCGTGAACTCCTCATCCAGGAGGTCCACGATTCGAACTACTCCGGACACTTCGGGGTTGATAAAACCCAGAAATTACTGCACCGTCAATATTACTGGCCCGATTCCTCTAACGACGTGCAGCGTTATGTGTCCTCATGCAGGGTGTGCCAAGCCATGAAATCGACACGTCAGCGACCAGCTGGGCTGCTGCAACCCCTCGAGCCACCCGAACGACCGTGGCAACAGGTGACGATGGATTTCGTCACGGGGATGCCAGCTGGGCCGTCCGGCAACGACGCTGTCCTCGTCGTTGTCGATCGCTTCACGAAAATGGCAAACTTCGCACCATGCCGAACGACGATCACAGCCGAAGAAACTGCGCGCCTCTTCATCTCAACGGTCGTGCGACTACACGGCATCCCTTCGGCGATCATCACCGACCGGGACCCGAAGTTTACATCCAAGTTTTGGAAGGAAACATGGGCGCAGTACGGCACGAAGCTACAGTTCTCA